GATTAAGGGAGGCTGCATTGGAAGTATAAGCGCAAGGGCGTTAAGAAGAATCCGGTGACAGTTTTGATAGAGAAAGATTACAATGAGGCATTAGAAAAGGAGAGAAAGATAATTAAAAGATTAAGGGAGGCTGCATTAAAAGGAGGGAGAATTACCCTAGAGAGGTTCAAGATAATGAAGGCAGGGGCCGATGACTTCCTTCTGCCAGCTAAGAGGGATTTCATATATGAATTATGTCAGAAATACAATGGTGCCTTTTCCTTTAATGATGAGGAGAGGGGACGACTGAACGTTGACATGATCAAGATGGTCAAGATCTGGACCGTTCCTCACACACCTTGGAATGATAGACCCACAAAGTACGCTCAAAAGGAAGAAAAAAAGGTAATGGAGTACATAAACCAGAAGATCGCCTCCAATGTTGAGGAACCACCTGATGGAGCTTACGCTAATCACTGGTTTTGCTTTTGGAAGCCAGGTGATGGTCTGCGCTGGATACAGAATTTGCAAAAGTTGAATTCGATAACGGTTCGCGATGCGGGTAGTTTACCCTACGCGGATCTGTTGGCCGAGTCCTTTGCCGAAAGGAGCATCTACCCCCTAATAGACTTGTACTCTGGCTATGACCAATTTTCGATAGACCCTACTAGTCGACCTATAACCGCCATGCATACACCTAGAGGCCTCATACAAATGTGTGTGGTGCCTCAAGGGTGGACGAATGGGGTTGCGGTCGTCCAGCGAGACATGCTGAAGGTCATGGAGGACATATGCCCAGAGGTTACATTCCCATACATTGACGACAATCCAGTTAAAGGACCGAAGGAAAAAGATGAGACTTTAGTGGATGGTCGAGTCAGGCAGTTTGTATGGGAACATGCGCAGGGAGTAGCGAAAGTACTAGAAAGGCTGGCTGAATACAACCTAACAGCCAGCGGACCGAAATTATTACTGTTCCAAAGGGAGGTAACGATCTTAGGTTTTAGGTGTTTCTTGGAAGGAAGAAGCCCCGATCCGAGGAAAGTGGATAAACTCATGAACTGGCCTATGCCTCTAAAAACGGTTGGGGAAGTAAGGAGCTTCCTAGGGGTCTGTAGCTTTTGGAGGATCTTCATCCCCGGGTTTGCCAAGATAGCCGAGCCCCTTAGAGAGATGGTGCGACAAAGAGCTGGCGTAAAGTGGTCTGACCAAAGAGAGAAGGTTGTGCGGACACTTCAAGATAAGTTAAGAGATGGCGGGATCGTATTAGGAGTACCCTACTTTAACGCTGAAAAGGAGAGGTATTTTATCATCGAAGCCGACAGCGGCCTAATAGCATTAGGAGGGGTGCTCGTGCAACGAGATGAGAATGGTAAATAAAGGTCACTTAGATTTGAGAGTCGCACCCTTAATTCGGTTGAGAGAGGCTATATTCAGTTCATGAAGGAGCTTCTGACAATCCTGCACTGTCTCAGGGTATTTAGACACTATGTTATGGGGCGGAGATTTATCCTAAAAACGGATTCCACAGCGGTAATTGGAGCTGTTAAGAGACATCAACAAGTAGATGCTACGGTCAATAGGTGGATAGCTCACATATGGACGTATGATTTTGTATTAGAGAAGGTACCTACTGAAAAAAATCGAGCCGATGGGCTGAGCCGCGTAGAATGGGGATCAATAGATAATGAATCTCTTGAGAAGGCACCCTTCGTTGACGAATTCCTTATGGAAGACGATGATGAAGGACTGCCTCCAACTCCCAGTTGTTATACAGCCTCAAGCATAGCAACGAGCAGGGAAGACTGCTCGGGGGAAAAGGAAGACCCTTACCTCCATTACCTCCTAACTCAAGAGGATGAGGAGGAAGGATGGTATGGGATGGTAGAACAAGCTGCTGTTGCAGCTCATGAACTAGCAAAAAGTTCAAGGATGGTTGAACGAAGGCTGAATGAGATAGAGGAAGAGCCGGAAGACCCTAAACAAGATAAGGACACTAAGGAGAGATTTAAGAAGGATGAGTATGATGGGGAATATGAGAGGATCGGTATGGTAATGAGCAGTAATCGGTTGGACGAATTTTATCATGAGAGAACAAAGAGAACCTTTAGTCTGCGTAGGGGTTACCTTTTTGTGGATGCTAAGGAAGGACTACCGCCACTTAGACTAGTGTGTGGTAAGGAAAGGCAACTAGAGGGGATCACCGCACAGCATGAGGGTCTAGCAGGGGGTCATAGGGGTGTTGATGCTACATACTATAAAGTATCTCGACTATATCACTGGGATGGTCTAAGGGATATGGTTATGAGATATTGTAAGTCATGTGAAGCCTGTTAGAAAAGGTCATCTATGAGATTGATTGAACTCTTATACCCCACTGTTCTTGTTGAACCTGGCAGTATTGTTCACCTTGATCTAATTATTATGCCACCTGGTAAGGATGAAATGAAATATGTACTAAACATGAGAGATAACATGTCTTGTTATGTTGAAGCAAAAGCCATCCGTAAGAAAACCGCAAAGACAGTGGCAGATTGGATTGAGTAAATCTACTTGAGGTACCCCTTCATACGTGAGTTTGTGGCTGACCAGGGATCAGAGTTCAAAAACGAGATGGTCAGGAGACTCATGTTCAGACTTGGAGTCAGGATCAGATTTGTGACACCATATCATCTTCACGCTAATGCCCCAGTAGAGAGAGGCCACAGGACACTGAAGGATGCTATATCGAAATGGTGCCAATGCGACTCCAGGAACTGACCATCTTTCTTAAGGGTGGCAGTCTATGCTGACAATGTGACTGTCAAACGGACTACAGGTTCTGCGCCCATTACACTCTGGTATGGCAGATATGCTACTTCTCTCATTGTGAACCTGGTTGAGACCTGGACCCATGAGGCACAAAAAGAGTCGTACTCCACAAAGGAGTTACTGAGGCTGAGGATCAGGCAGATCAAGGAAGTGGATGAAGCCATAATTGAGTCCACAAAGAGGATATCAGATGGCAGATTATCTGATCAGACACGGTGGAACAGCAAGAGGTACATCAGGAAGGAACGACTTCAGGTCGGAGATATTGTACTTCTACATGTTACATCTCTCGAGACACAGTGGACCAAGAGATTGGAGGCCAGGTGGATGGGACCATTCAGGATAATCAGAGAGGTTGAAGGGAAGGCCTATGAGTTAGCAGAGATGGATGGTACGAGATCTCATGGTACAGTATCCGGCTCCCGGCTCCGAAAATTCATACTTAGAGACGCAGATTTGATTCCGAGTTCGGGCAGAGTGATGAGGCGAGGCCCGAGAGCCGTCTAGCATCAGCCTAAACATGCTGAGGCGTGGCCAGTGTGCCCTCAGCATTTGTTGGGACGTGGTGAGAGTGTCGCGCCAGCTTCAGATGATTATATGCTGGGATGTGGACAGTGTGCCGCCAGCTTCAGTTGACGACGATTATATGTTGGGATGTGTACAGTGTGCCGCCAGCTTCAGTTGATGACGATTATATGCTGGGATATGGACAGTGTTGCCGCGAGCTACAGATGATGATGATTATTGGCTGGGATGTGGCCAGTGAGCCGCCAGCTATCGATGATTATGAGCTGGGATGTGGACAATGTTGCCTCCAGCTACAGATGATGATGATTATTTGCATGGGACGTGGCCAGTAAGCCGCCGGCTATCGATGATGATTAAGAGTTGGGACGTGGCCAGTGAGCCGCCAACTATCGATGATGATTATGTGCTGGGACGTGGCCCGTGTGCCTCCAGCAGCAGCTGACAGTCGGTTGCTATGATTATGATATGATTTCGGATGTCGGAGTTGGATACAAGCAGCCTATGATGGCTCGGCTCATTGGTGGACTTATGTGTCTGCCGGGCCCAGATTGGCCCCAGTCTTGCATGTATGTGAGTTAAACTTTTAAAATTTCAGTTCATTGCATTGTATCTGGCTTGTCATGTGTCAGTCCTGGGACATGCCTGGGGGATTGGGAGCCAGTTTATGGGATTTCAGTTCTTGCCTCTTATTGTATTTTATTTAGTCTGAATGACATTTATGAAATGAATGGCTGTGGGATAAAGTAAAATTTGTTTTCTTCCTCTTATAAGTCAGTGCTCAGTTGATGGGGCAACCTTCTAGTACGATTGCGTAAGGAGGATTGCCTGGCATCATCTGACACAAATTGATTAGCTATCTCTGAAGGAGGGTGACATTTGGCCTCGTGAAGTGTTCCCTTGGCAAGAGACTCAGCATCGTCGAGATGGGGTTCCTCTCTAGACGGGCCTTCGCGCTAAACGCTACCAAGCTCTAAAGGGATAGGTAATTAATCATGTGTCATAATCGATGGAGTGATCTGTCCGAT